TACAGAAGTTTGCATGTGTTGATTTCTGACATCAGAATCTGCTGCTCTCAAATAATATTTCTAACGTAGGCATTAGTCTTTTTCTGTCCACACATGAAGGTTACCTGACGGTATCACAAAGAACCAAATCAACTATGTAATGATACAGCTATACCGGAGATCAAGTACACCATGAACACAGACTTTCCTGAGTGCAGACTGGGTTAGACCATCAGCTGTTAGCCTGAACCAAAATTAAAACTTAAACATAAGACAGTCAACATTTGGACTTATCCGAAATCAACGACCATTATATAACTTCAGTCCAGAATGGGTTTGAGTCATTGGCACAGGTGAAGGAGAACAATAGAACAATCCCAACAAACGGAGGTAAAATGAAAACTGTTATGCTCAAAACCACCAAAGCACACTTTCTGAAATGTCACTGTCGGACTGCTCCATGGGGCAGGTGCTTGAGCTAGTGGAAAAATGGTGCAGAGTGAAAGAGAATAGCTTGGAGATAGAAGAATGTAGGAGAGAATATAAGGAACTGAGCAGATAGATTGAAAGGCAGACTAGATCAGTCAAGGGTAAATATCTAAGGGCAAAATGTATGTAACTTGAGAATTATAAAGAGTAATAGCACAAAAGGTATGTTCACAGTGGTCAGGTTTCTTACCAACAGGTTTTTCTGTGATCAATAAAATATCATGATGGCAGAGCCCTCACTGAGGGTGATGGTATTAAACACAAGTGTAGAGATTACTGTGCCAGTATGTGTGCCTCACCCGATAACTGACCCACACTTTGCACGAGTACAAAATCACTACACAAGCTGGAAGTCAGTGGCGAATTCAGGCCTTCTCTTTACTTTATGGAGTCTCCTCAGTTAGTTTAACAACCCTCTAAGTTGCTAAGTACATTATGGGCCACTGTAATAAACCAGAAGAGGGAAATTTGAGTGGTTGCATTAAGCACTTTTCTTTTGTAAATGAAAATATTAAAGTTGACAGAAGAGGGGGGCCAGTGACTGAATTAATGAGATTATTTGCCAATTTTCGTGATCAAATTACAGCCTCATTATGCAGAATTGATTTTACTGGTATAATATTCATTCCAATATAATTTAAGTGTAGTTGTTTCCAGCTCCTTTTAATTGTCTCCTCTAATAAACACAAAAATAAATGAGCAAGATGTTAGCCATTGCAGACAAGTGGCTATCACTATATTGAAATGTCCCTTATTATTCCTTTTCTTGTTTATGATGCTGTAATTCTGCCTGTTTTGGCAAGCTGTTTGTCTTCTCTACCCAACCATTATCTCTGTCAATCAAGCCTTTTGTACTCAGTGCAGTCTAATTTGATTTCTCATTAGTTTAATTGCACATTTTTCTCTCTTGAATGTTGCGTACCCAATCTGTTATCCAGTTGCACAGGGGATTCCCAAAGGCCTATCATATCTTACTTTATCTGATGTAATACACAGATTGCTTTCTAAAGCCTAAATAGTTTTAAGAATTTGAAAAACTTCTTATTAATCTCAATATTATGCCTGAAATTTATTTTGCGCATATCATTTCTGTTGGATGCAAAACAGTCAGTCAGTAGAATATAGGAGTATGCTCTAGTATGGCACATGTTGGTTTTATGCAAAGGCGTGTGCTTCACGGTGAATCAATTCTTATACTGGATACAGGAGATAACATTTAAGAGTGTTAGTCAATCCACCACATTATATTCAATAAACCCCACAAGGCAACATTAGTGAGATCAAATCAGTGAGCAGATACAACAGTTGCATCCTAAGCAGGCTGAAAGTTAAGGCCGTGTCTAGACTAGAATTTAAAAGGGTGTTGTTAGCTAGTGTAGACAAGACACACTGCCTCTAACGTATGCTAAGCTGGTAGAGTTGAGGCCTTCATTTTGGTTAGCACATGTTAGCTAACATTCTAACAACACATACTAAATTATACAAGGTTTAAGAGAATAAGAACTGCAAAAACAGCCTACTGAGGTAGTGTGGCCTAGTGGATAGAGCAGCAGACTGGAACTCAGGAGACCTGGATTCTATGTTTGGCTGTGCCACTGGCCGGCTGGGTGACCATAGGTAAGTTATCTCACCTATTTGTGCCTCAGTTTCCCTATCTGTAAGATGGGGATAATGGTACTGATCTTTGTAAAGCACTTTGAGATCCACTGATGAAAAGCACTATATAAGAGCTAGTTATTATTATTATTAGACATAAGGGCACATGTTGCTGTTGCCAGGCTGGCATGATAAAGAAGGGAGCAAGTTTTGAAGGTGCTTTTTAATCAGCTGCCCATGTGACAGTAGGGGGACTTTCCAGCATGGTCAAAAGACTCAGCCTGATTTGCAAGCCTCAAATTAATCCCACAACAGAGAAAGGGTCATCACAACCCCACGTCTACCCATCAGCCAGACTCCTGGTACCCCAGTGTTGAGGATGGTGTAGCTTCCAAGCAGCATCCTGCTTGCAGTATTAGCCGAAGACTACTCCAGGAACAAAACCAAGTTTGCAGGGCCTGTGAGATTTTTAAATACAATAGATCACTTTGGGGAGAGAGAACAAAAGGCTGACTGATTAAGAGTAACTTTCTGAGGGTGTTTTCTGTAAAAGCCACAACGTTAGGAAACAATGTCCAAGGCTATCCTGTTAGCTTCCTGAGTGGAGGAGTTGACAGTTTTTTTCTGCGGGTCTAAAATGTCCGGAAACACTACATTTCCAACCGGTGCAGTTAGACACATTTATATTACAGCCCCACCTACTGGCACCAGTACCACCACAAGTTGCACATAATACCACCATTCTGATTTGGTTCACAAGTTGGGACACAACAAATACTGACTTCTGCCTTGGTTGCAAACTGATCAGAAAAGACTGCTCGGAATGGCCAGTTGCTCACAACAATCCTAACAGGGAAAATAAAAGAAATCAGACTCTTCTCCTGCTGTGAGCACTGGAGAAAGGAGTAGCTTTTCTATTGCCGCTGATGGCAAGGGAAGTTGTGGAATTCCCATCATTGGAGGTTTTTAAGAACAGGTTGGACAAACACCTGTCAGGGATGGTATACTTAATCTGTCTCAGCGCAGAGGGATGGACTTGATGACATCTCAACGTCCCTGCCAGCCCTGCATCTCTATTATTCTAATAAATTAAGCTGAACATTTCAGGTATATGGCGAACAGTTTTTTCCTGTCCTGAAGAAGTTTTCAAGATACTGAAAAACTTTTAACTTTTCATCCTGATTCATCAAAAAACCCCTCCCCCAATTTCAGTTTGGGTCAATGGTATTTACACAGCTCTAGAGAAACCCTGAAACCCCCAAGGGTTTAAGTAATGACTGAAGAATCATTCATCTCCCACTGTTTTTTGAAGAGCAAGGAGGGCTAACAGATACAACATTGCACTGGGAGTCAGGAGATCTGCATTCTATTCTCGGCTCAGCCATTGGCCTGCTGGATGCTCTTGGGCCAGTCATTTCACTCGTGCCTCAATTTCCCCCACTGTAAAGACTTCCTTTGTAAAGCACTTTGAGATCTTTTGATGAAAAACACTAGATATGAGCTAGGTGTTATTATTATTCCTGGTCCACATTCATTTCACGTTGCATATGCTGTAGCTGTGTTAAATGTTTCCACTAACTAGAATTATAAATGCAGGGGACAGGGAACTCCATAACTTTGATTTTGTATCCTTATTCTATTGGGGACACCTGGCTTACCCTTACCGAGGTGGGCTAAGCAGGGTATTCAGCCTCCACACCAAGCAGATATTACCACCTGCTTTTTATCGATGTAGTGATAAAAACATGAATGAATGAATGAATCCTCACATTTTGAGATCCTCTATTGGGAGATAACATAAAAGTTCCACTTAACAATTTCCTAATTTATTCATATTCAGTGAGTTAGCATCACTCTTTCAGAATTAGAGTTGTAATAACAACATGTAGGTAGTTAAATACTGTTTAAGTGTTAAATGTTTCATATTTCAACCATAATATTTAAACTAAGTTATTTCTGCATTTTACTATGC